TTTAATCAAAATATTTTAGAAAACGAAAATAAATTAGTCATCTATACTAATATATAAAATCCTTAAGTGACTGACTCACTGATTAATCACGATCCTGCTCAAACCACTCAACAACGTAAGAAGCTCAGTTTTGGCATACAGGTTGATTCTAGGGTGTAGAGGTTCGATAAGAAGGGATTTTTCGAAACTCCAGTTCCAAGGGGGTGAAACCACCCCTCAAATATTACAATATTTTTTATTTAAAAAACAGTTCCAGTTTTATTTAAAAAACGGTTCCGGTTTTATTTAAAAAACGGTTTTTATTTAAAAACGGTTTTTTTATTTAAAAAAAGTTTCCGAAAAAACGCTTAAACACGTATATTTTATTTTGTTTTTTTACTTATTTTAAGATTTTTTTAAAAATGAATACAGGGTGTTTCGAAAAATCTGGTCACTGATTGACCAAACCAAACCAAATCACGATTCTGCTTAAAGCGCTTGACGTAAAAAGCTAATTTTTGGAAAATGGATTGATTTTAGGGTGTAGAGGTTCGATAAGGAGGGATTTTTCGAAACTCGAATTCTAAGGGGGTGAAGTCACCCCTCAAATATTAGAATATTTTTTATTTAAAAACCGGTGAGTTTTTCGAAAAAAGCGCCAGCAGTATCTGCTGGAGCAACGAATGGATGTTAGTAGTGGTTTTATTTTGTAAATAAAATAGCTTCTTGGCCTCAAGGGCTTATGCTCGAAGGTATCCAAATAGGAATCATCCTAATAAGCGTTTCTTTGAAAAACTACTTGTCTTATTGCGCAGAGCTGGTAGTGTGGTTGATAAAAACCTATTAGGCAGAAACCTGTCAAACGGTGAGTGAAGAAAATTAATTTGCCGTAATTGTCTCCTTTTATAGAAAATCCATATTATATCTACTAAGTTATCGTAAAATATGTCAAAGAACTACTTCTTCGTTTTCGTTGATAGAATAATAAACACATATTTAATAAATATTATTTATTAAACTATTGTAGGTAAATTAAATAAAAGTAAACTGGTATAAGTATATAAATAAGTCCATAAATTAATTTCGATTTTGAAAATAGCTACTAACTGTCACTAAAAATTTACCATGACGACAATAGCCCTCTTGGTTGCCATTTTATTTAAAAATAAAAGTATAGGAAACCCTAATATAATTAAAAAGGGCATTTAAATCTGCTCGATTTGTTTAAAAAAACAGAGGATGTGTGTATTTGAAATAACGAAGTATAAATATTTAAAACCAGACCAGCAATTTTTGATACCCCTGTATACTATACATTAAAGCAATCAAATTTTTCAGTAAAGGTTATTTCTTTGGCTTAAATGTCAGCACAAGAATTAGTTCGAACTAATGTGCAGGGTGTTAAAAATCTTTTTTATTACAGCAAGGATATTTAAATATCTTGAAATATCTCAAAAACCAAAGCCTGTAAACATATTTAATCTTTATAATAAATGCCTTATTTTGTGTCCAAGGATCCAAATATGGCACATAAAATACCGGGTGTTAATAAGAAAAAAATGTAACTTTGGTGTGGATCTTAGTTCTGACATACCCTGTACATTTTAAAATAATTTTAAATTGTGCGCATTGCCTCCCCATATATACCCATAAAATATTTTGTTTCTACATCTTTCCGTTTTCATTTTATTCTTTCCGTATGTCATTTTAAAAATATTTTTTTTTATTCGGACTATGGCATAGAAATAATTTGCCATCAAGAAAAAAGCTGTCGTTTAGTCAATTTCAGTTCAAATTCCTCTTGAATTTTAAATCTGTTTTCATTTTAAAGGAAATACTTTTTTTGATTTTTTGATTTTCTACTTTGTTTTAGTGGCAAAATTACACAACTTATCTAGTAACATCCATTTCCTCTGTTACTAATTTACAAGAACCTTGTGCCACAAAATAAAATCAATTCTGACCGCTTCGTAAGATTCATTTCACGGTTCAGCCGACTAACTCTCTCCTTGCCTCTATCCCATTCAATCCCATTTACTTTAAAATGTCTCCATTACGAAGGTCTGCCGCTCGGCCAAAGCCACGACTGATCTAATGCCCAATAAGGACCGTTTCCAGAGTGTTTCCACCTTAAATACGTTTCCAAGGATGCGTGCCGGCCAGATAAAATGCCTTATCTGTCTCCGAGATACACGCAGCCATTAGAGTGTCCCGAAGGTATTAACTTTCTTAGAGGTCTAATGGAAACTGTGACCCTAGGGTTGGGTCTCGTTAAGTTAATATTCGTTGAAACTTTAAAACTTATTTCTTTTGTAAAAATTATACAGGGTGGCGCCTCCCTATATATTTAAAAAATCTACCAGTTCTACTTTCATTGTTGGGAATTAATAAATTATCAGGGTGCGTTTATGTTACTATGCAGTATGGATGTGCGCCTTGTTTTTTGTGAATAATAAATGGCACTGACATTAAGACGTCATTTAGATAAATCGCGATTTTTTAACGATAAAATAATGAACTATCAAACGGCAAGTCAGAATTTAAATAAAAATGATTCAAGAAGATCTTCCGCAAGAAATTATTAACCAGGCAGAGGCGGCTACAACACAAATACTGCCAGAAAAGTCTCGTGGCGTATATGATACGGAATTCGTAACTCACTAGTTTGTTATAACTTCAAAAACTCACGCGTGTGTTATTATTTATTTTATATGCATGTATTCATGTGAGTAATGTCTCTATAAGTAGTGGCTGGTGGATAAACTTTTTTATTATTAACATTTTGAGAAAAATGCATTGTTCATAAAAAATGGTTAATCCCGTATATATAATATTCCAAATTTCTATACCGTCTAAGAGAAAAGTAATAAAAAACATGAAAATATAGTTGAATTTTCAAAATATCAAAGCGCGTTCATACGGTAATATAATTTTGATTTCATTCTTTGATTCTTTGATCTTCGATGATTATTGCCATATTTTTGTTATTGTTAATGTATCACATTTTCCGATAACTATTATCACCCTTTCCGTAGCATTGAACTAAATAAATTTTGTGCTTAAAACAGCAAAAAAATTACGTAAGTCGAAACGCGTTTTGATTTTTAGGAGAAAAAATAATTTTCTCTGAAACGGTACAGAAATTTGAAACGATATAAACGGGGTTAACTATTATTAGGGCAAGCAAACAATTTTATGAAGAATGCATTTTTCTCAAAATATCAATAATAAAAAAGTTTTTCCTCTTGAAAAGAAAATCCAGGTACTCTATATTGTAATAGTTAAATAATTGTTAATATTTATTGGATTCCCGACTGTAACACATAGACAAGCAAATAAAAAGAGACTGACAAATCCCATGGTAAAGAGTGGGACCGCGTTCCCGTAGCGCAACCTAGAATAACAATTTTGAAACCAATTAGCAGGACCACGGCAGGACGTACGTCTTTATTGCTATCTTTCTTTATTATGTGTGCTTTATATGAAAAAGAAAGAGATAGGTATAAAACGTATCGTAAGACATTATCGCACATTCTGGCTGGCGGAAAATTTAAATTAGCCTTTATTAGTAGTATTCTTTCATTCTGAAACTGAAAATTTTCACTTAAACTGATTTATTCCCTCCGTAAGGGAACGTGGTGTAGAGAATAAATCAGTTTAAGTGAAAATTTGCAGTTTCTTTCAGAACGAAAGAATACTACTATTATAAGGGAAATTATAAAAAAAGCAAAAGTTGTACTGTTTTATAAACATATTTATTTATACATAAAAATAAATAAACTTTTTATAATATAATAACAAAAAATAACAGTGTTTATTAACCCACCTACCAATTTTAAATGCAGAAGAACTGACTGTTGCAGGAAACGATCGGAAAATTTTTTTAAAGGGCATTAAAAATCTCATTTTCGAAAAAACTGCCTAATTACAATAACAAAGTGAATATCCAAGCAAAGAAGACTTTACGAGAATCATGATCCTGAACCATTTTCAAGTCCAGTTTTAATCCTAAAACAAAGTAGGTATATTAATATAAAGTTTCTGGTTACAATAAACCAGCTATAAACTGCCTACCCAAAAAATGAAAAAAAATAATTGTATTATTTTGTTATGTTAAGAGAGGTTCGAAATATTTTTGACACTACTACTTCTACTTTTTTCTTAATAAGATGATAAATATAACTACTTACTTTTAAATAAAAATACGAGTAGCGGAAAAAGGGGCCAAAAAACCCTACACATATGCTTATTCTCTGCATTAAGTTCATCAGACCGAAGGGAACAGGCATTCGACGACCGGTTCGGAGATTTTTCTTACTTACTTACTAACTACTTACTTTTATTTTACTTATTTATCTTACTTATCTAACTTACTTTTATTTTACCGGGTGTCTTTAACATATCTATCAGAGAAAGGGGGCACCAATACATATAAAAAATAGATGATACTGTGTCCTGCAGCAAATAAAATAACAAATAGTATAACCGAAAGTTATAAGTAACAAAATATAAATACCTATATGGGACAAAGGAATTTGTTCCCTATACATATTCATAAGTCAATAAAATGGAGAGTTTAGAAAAAAAGGTAAATCGCCAAAAGAAAAATTAACAAACATGACGAATTGTCATGATGTTGTCATCTTGGTTGTCATGATGACGAAAACGAAAGGCGATTGTTCTAATTTCTATTTAGAAATTACGTTTTATATGGTTGCTTCTTTTTCTCTTGTTATATTAGAATGAGATAGTGGGCCCAATAGACGCAATGCGCAGATCAACATAAATAGAACGAAATTTTGCGTTCTGAGTTGCTCTACGGGAACGTTGTCCCTCTCTTTGCCATTTAATTTGCCAGTCTCTTTTTATTTGTTTGTCTATGCTGTAACACATACAATATTGCAATAAAACATTGACATTGACATATTTATATAACCAAATAACTTATAGTAATTTGACATTTTCACATTTTGGACTGGAACCTCAAAATTCCGCTGTCATTCTTTATCTGTCATCGTATATCGAAAACTTATGCATAATTCTGACTAAGTTCAAAAACGGTTTAAAATCGTGGAGTGTAACCGCATTCTACGGGTTAATCTAACTTTAGAACAATAATAATGTGTTGGACAGTAACGTAATTTTATTTTTTTGAGTGGTTGAGGACGAATAATGCCAGTTTATTGGTATTAATAGTTATATAAAGATGGATTCCAGACTATATAGCTAATGCAGGAGCCTCCAAATGGCTTTCTAAGCAGTAAGTTATAATTTTAAATTATATCTCATATTTTTATAGCATTTGCTGTTATATTTTTTCTATTAATTTAAAAAAAATTATAGCATTTGCTGTTATATTTTTTCTATTAATTTAAAAAAAATTCTACATAAGGTAACATTTTCATGTAGTTTAAAGTTCAATATATTTTGTTCTAGTGAAAAATAGTGTACAATATTTTATGAAACAAAAGTAAGTTAATTATTACCAATATACATACAGGGTGGCCCATCGAAAACGTTCCGCAAGGCATAACGGCCAGGGTAATTTTTTTTCAGAAAATTAAAAAACACGTCAATTTTGTTTGTGAGGGGGACAACTTTTGCCCCAAAAATGATTGCAAAATCTTCAACCCTCTAAGCGGGGGCGTCATCCCCCAACTTTTTTCAAATGGGAAGGGGCTCCAGTGGTACCGCAATTGAAAGGGCATTTTATTCTCTATACTTTCCCGCTTCGTTTTTGAAAATCGGTCGAGTCATTGAGAAAATATGAAGGATTGAAATTTGAAAAGTTTATTTAAACATTTATCAGAGTAAATGATAAGGATAAATTCCATCGACCAATTTGCTGTTTTTCTTATTATTTCTAGATGTTTACTCGTTTTTTCACTTGCCACAAGATTGAACGATCAGGTGCGGCAGTTGCTAGATAGCTGTTCTGTGACTTGTGCGTTGAAGTTCTTCTCAATATCGTTAAACTTTTTAACCATTATGGTGTACTCACTTGCAGAAAAAGTGGAAATAATCGAAGTTTATTTTAAAAATAATGAATGTAGCAATCGGGTTCCGCAGATATTCAATGAATGCCATCCTGAAAAACACCATTATGGCAAAATTGTTCGCGAGTTAGTAGCAAAATTTCGCGAAACTGGTTCCATTATGAATAAAAAGAGGCAGAGGGAAAACCCTGTAGTAAATAAAGCTATGGAGGTATTCGTATTGGGCCAAGTTGCCATGGCTAGTACGCTGAGTACAAGAAAATTAGCCAATGCAAAATTAGCCGGCGTGAATCGTACCAGTGTCCAAAGGATATTAAAAAAACACAAGTTCCACCCGTAAAAAATTCAGTTGGTACAAGAACTCAACGAAGACGATTTTGATCGTCGCTTGCAATTTTGTGAAACTGTGAGTGAACTAGTGGCGAATGATAATAATTTCCTATTTAATGTGTGTTTTTCGGATGAGTGTACTTTCTTTTTGAACGGTGGAGTTAATCGGCATAACTGTCGGTACTGGGCTGAGGTGTTTTTCACGAGGTGCACACACAAAACTCTCAGAAATTGAACGTGTAGGCTGGTATATTGCTATCTAGCAACTGCCGCATCTGATCGTTCAACCTTGTGGCAAGTAAAAAAATGCGTAAACATCTAGAAATAATAAGAAAAAACAGCAAATTGGTCGAAGGAATTTATCCTTATCATTTACTCTGATAAATGTTTAAATAAACTTTTCAAATTTCAATCCCTCATATTTTCTCCAATGACTCAACCGATTTTCAAAAACGAAGCGGGAAAGTATAGAGAATAAAAAGCCCTTTTCATTGCGGTACCACTTGACCCCCCTTCCCATTTGAAAAAAGTTGGGGCTTTAACCCGCTTAGAGGGTTAGAGATTTTGCCATCATTTTTGGGGGGACAAAAGTGTTACCCTGGCCGTTATGCCTTGCGGAACGTTTTCGATGGGCCACCCTGTATATTTTTAAACATAATCTTGAAGATTGTTATATAAAATCGGTTGCATTAAAATCTTTATATATCGCAATTTACTTGTATATATTTTTTTCAATTCCCAATAACTACCCATATATATTATTTTTACTGCGGTTATTCCCGCTACAAATGGCCGTGACTTTGACTGAATCGTTGTCAAAAGCAGGCACGTCTGTCATCGTTCAGGCCGAAATATCGCCTAATAAGACAATACACGCTAAGCAATAATTTACCAAAAAAACAAATAACCGGCATTCTCTACACAGTATTCGTTTCTGCGAAAATAAATTGGGCGACATAATTCAGCGGCACATCTCCAAGTCTGCCGCCTATATAAGTGCCGGCGTCATTTCAAAATTACGAAATTTGTCTTGCCGCCCCATATATATATATATATATATATATATATATATATATATATATATATATATATATATATATATATATATATATATATATATATATATATATATATATATATATATATATAAATATGCGTGTGTGAAATATTTATTAGTGTAACATGTGCGAGAGAGATACAGCGATCTGAATTTTGGTTATACTTTCTTTTGCAAAATTTCACTTAGAAAACGTTACGTATATTTGTTTAATTAGCTAATTAGTAATCATCAAGCTTCATTCAGAAGCTCGCAGTTGGTGGAATAGATTAGTGGTTTGAATTAGCGTTTTCTTTTAATTTCTATATGAGCATTCAGAACGTCAAAATTAGTGGTAGACATTTTCAATTAGTAGAAAAAGTTACTAAACTTTTAACTTTTCCAATAATTATACTTCAAAATTTGCGAGAAATGTCGAGTGAATTAGAAAACGATTAAAGTTAATAATAGAGGTTATTTTATATATTATACAGGGTAAGTCTTAAATAAGTGCAAGTATTTTCAGGGGAAGTATATTTCGACCCCAAAAATACGATTATGAGGCTTTTTCCGCAATTTTTTTTAAAAATTTAGTTAAAACACATAATTTTTTGATAATGTGGCAACATAGGTAGTAGATTAAATTTACAGGAAAGAAAACCCAGAACAGATCCAATGGTTCTCAAAATTTAAGCAAATAATATTTGTTTTTGGAAATTTTCAAAGTAAAACAACTCGGTTATTTTGGACTTATTTAGGAAACGGTAAAGAGAAAATATGTTTCTTTTATCGAGATATATCAGCCTTAAAAATATTTGCACTTATTTATGACTCATCTTGTATAGGAATAGTATACTTTTATGTTGTGAACATATATGGCTTTAATATTTAACCTTCGATTGGTTTAATACAATTTTTTTGTAATACTTTGAATTATTTGTGACTAAAATTTCAATACAGGGTGATTATTGTATATTTCTACCCCAGAAACACATCCATGCGGATTTTTTCGCGAAAAAAAAGGTTTAAAAATATTTTGAAATTTTTTAAAATTTTTAGGACCTTGATAACTTGAAAACAAAGGTAGTAGATTAAATTTATAAGATGGAAAACCCAGGAAAAAAACAGTGGTTCACAAAATTTAAGTAAAAAATCTAGTTTTTTATATTTTCAAAGTAAAATTACTCGGTTATTTTAGACTTCTTTTGAAAAATATGTTTTTTTTTTATCGAGACCTACCAGCCCTGAGAATATTTGTTTAAGACTCACCCTGTATATTAATTATCAACTTATTTCTTTGGGAAACGACTAATAAACTACTTTACAATTAAAATGAGATATACATCTGTTACTGTCACGGATTTTGGCGTTGAACAGAATATAGAATACGCTGCAGCTGGTGAAATTTTTCCACTACAATTATGACCACCCTGTATAGAAATGTAACATATTACCCTAGTTTTTTCCTAATTCATTCTCCCGATATCATCACGATTATAATAAACAGTGCGGCACGTCCATCTCCATTAGACTGATCCGGGGCTTTATCCGCGATTTCGCCACCGCGCGCCTATAACGATTACAGATGGCGCTACAGTCGCTCGCCGTGACGTCCACCGTCGCGTCGTATATTTTTGCTGTCGCGCCACCACGAATATCCTTACCTCGCTCGGCGTCGGCGTCGCTTCGCCCGGATTACGCGTTACACCAGATTTAAGATGGAACATGATAAATGGACGCGACGTATGTTTGCGACTTCTAAAATCTTATCATTTAGAAATATGGCATAATTCCGTAATGTTTTTCGAAAACTAAAGTTTTATTAAATTGTCATAATTTATAGGGCCATGAAAGGCAAGTTCTTATTTATTTTATTATGCGTATTTCTCTCCAATTAAAAATTAAATAAAATAGAGTAGAAACTGACATAAGAGAGTTTTGTAAGAATAATTGTATACAAATGAGTGAGTATCTGAGAGGTCACATTCTTCACAGTATACCGACTGGTGCATCGGTGTCGGAAACATAGGAAATCTCATGCAAATTTTGAATCTTCCAAATAATATTGGCTCTTCTATTGATTTTACAGCAAAGTCGTAAATATATGTTTTTAAAGGTCTGTCAAATTTGAACAATTTTTAACAAGCCGATTTTAACTAATTTGAGAAAAACTGCATTTATTCTAGTAATAATTTGCGCTGTCCATTATACTTTTAGCATACATCTGTATATCCATAGCTAAAAAAAAAGGTTTCAATTTTTTTATTATATCTGCTTTCACCGTCAATGTTTCTACCCCATACAGTAGGTAAAGGCGACCAGACATAAGATTCCAGAAATCTCAATCTGAGTGTTAGATTTAAGGTTGCATTGCAAAATATCAATTTAAATTTTAAAAATACAGATCTATCTACAAAATATATAAGCATTTTAAATAACTTTTATACTTTAATATATCTATTAACGATACTATTAAAGTATACAAAATCATAAAATTACACTAAATTACTATATAATATAAAAAATAACCTCTGTTATATATATTACTAAGTTGTGTCATTTTCAATTGCACAAATAAACTACAAAATATTTTTACTATTTTATAAATATCCATTTCTATTTTTCAGTTCTCGATAAGGTAACTATTATTTTCTATATAACACACTATTTTTCTATCTAAATAGTGATAAATTTGGAAAATAAATTAAAAAATATATCTCAAAAATACCTTATTAAAATTACGTTGTGTATAAATTAACAAACAAGTTTTGAACAGTTTTCAAAAGGGCATATATTTTTTTTTAATCTATACTAATATATAAAATCCTTAAGTGACTGATATACTGATTAATCACGATCCTGCTCAAACCACTCAACGTAAGAAGCTCAATTTTGGCA